CAACCCTATTCATGCAGGCACACCCTTCACCAGAACTTTAACCCCTTCTACTCTGATGGTAACCTTAATGACTTAGTGCTTCTTACAGCTCATGGCTCAATAAACAAAGTTACTAATGTTTCACCTTCATCCAAACACTGTTTACCCAGGTTGGCTTCCTCAGTGCCCTGTAAGCTAGCTGCTCACTGCTTCTGTGCTTAAACATTTGTTCTTGCAGAAGCCACCCATCTGTGTCTTCTTTTGAACATCAGCAGAACTCTTCTACAATGCCTCGTCTGGCTCTGACACTTACAAAATGAGTATAAGCACCCATCTCTCTGTCTACACACAGCACCTTTGGAACTTAGAGCTCTCCTCGGGGTTGCGTGAGATGCAGACTGTAAGGGACCTGGAAAAGTGCCTCAACAGAAGGCAGTTTCCCTGCCTTTCCCACTCAGTCTGCCTGTCCCAGCATGTCACCTTTCCATGAACCCCTTTAATAGACAACTATACCTCTTCCTGCATTCATCAAAAACCTTATAATTGCTTTCATTTAATCCATTCCTTCACTCATTTGGTAAGCAGGAAATCTGTGCAAAGCTTTCCCACAGAACTGGGATACAGATGCACTCGGAGCCTAACAACACAGAGTAAGACAGTGAATGTTTGAAACTGAACAAAACTGTTCTACAGTTTAGCCTCAGCTGGAAACATGTGATGAATGAAGGACAGAGGGACAAACACTGCTGGAGAATACTAATGAAAAGATATTGAAACTGAGCATTAAATAATTCATTGTGGTGAGAGCACAGCACACATATACACACAAAAAGCAAGCAAGGGAACACATTTTTATCCTAAAGAAATAACTACACACTTAAAAAATATCTTGCAGGCACATCCACCCCTATAATGATCTACAAACTATAATGATCAAGAGCAAATTTTAAGCTAAAAAGGAATGCACACAAACACAAAGAAAAGTGGAGGAGTAAAAACAAAATACTTTAGAAACTTAGAATGCACAATGTGTTTTGCTTCTAAAGAAAGCAAAACAAATGAACTAAATCTTTTTGTTTATTTTTCATTTTACCTTTTTTCCCAGTCTAATCACAGCTCCCCTTCCCTCCTCTCCTCCTAGTGCCTTCCCCCAACTTTTCCTCCCTTCCCACACCCATTCCTTCTCCTTTCTCTTCAGAAAAGTGCATGCCTCCCATATATATCATCCAGCCATGGCATATCAAATTGCAGTAAGTCTAGGCACCTCCTACCCTATTAAGGCTGGACAAGGCAACTCAGTAGGAGGGAACGATTCCAAAAGCAGGTAACAAGAGCCAAAGACAGCCCCTGCTCCCTCTGTTAGGAGTCCCACAAGAAAACAAAGCTATACAATTGTAGCAGAGGACCTAGGTCAGCCCCATACAAACTCTCTAGATGGTTAGATGATTGGCCAAAATCAAGCTCTTATAAAGCCTTTACCAATGATAATAAAAGAGAAAGTATAATTTTATTGTGTATCTTCAGATAACATAAAATTGAATGCTTTTCTAATTATATGTGAACAAGGACTCTAAAGGAATACACAAAATAAAATAGCTTTGGGTATTGATTTGTTAATACTTTTTAAAAATTTTATGTATATGGGTGTTTTCACTGGAAGTATGTAAATGCATTATGTGTGTGCTTGGTACCTGAAGAGAGACCCAAGGTGGTGTGGGGGCTCACAGATCTGAGCCTGTTCCACCTTGACTGGAGGTCAGAGAGTATGAGCTTATTCTTGCTCTTTCAAATGTGTTGACAACAGATGTGGCTACAAACAAGATTCTGACTTAGGGTGTGGTTAATTAATATTTTGGGTGGATATAGAGATGGAACCACTCCACCCGGACCAAAGGTCAGGGAATTCAAGTTATTCCTTGTATTGTGTTAATGAAGTCTGTGTGTCATCCCCCCCCCCCACCTTCTCTTTTGAAATGAAGTGTATAAGCATGTGAAAAATCAACATGGATGAATTCAGAATTCAGTATTCACTAAGTTTCCCTCTCGATGCTGTTTTGTGTTTCTGTTTCTTATTTCTCTCACATCTCTGTTCCTTTTGCTTAATAATTCTAACTTCATGCTCCTACCCTGGAATGTACAAATTTTGTAGAGGCTTGTCTTCAACAAAAGGGCTTCAGATCCCCTGGGTCTATAGTTACAGGCTATTGTGAGCTTCATTGGGGATGCTGGGAATCAAACCATGTCCTTTGGAAGAGCAGCCAGTGCTCTTAACACCTAACCATCTCTCTAGCTGCAATAAAAATATCTTTAAGTCTTTTCATAAAAATTCACTATATTAAAAAGCAAAGATTAAATATCTATATTCCAGAAACATTTTTATATCTACAAAATTATTTTCAATTATCTTCTAGTTTAATTCATAGCAACTTTTCTATTTTCATTAAAAACAACAAACCAGACATATATCATACCAGATGTCTGAATTCCTAATGATAATTTATCCTGTGTCTTTAGGCTCTCCCCTTTCCTCCAACCTAGAGAACTCAAATTATTGCCATATAGAATTCTGGTGAGTGTTTTGTAGAATACAGCGTGCTCAAACCACAGAGTATTTAATTACTTACAATCTGAGATTTTCAACCAAAGCCGCCTCCCTAAAAACACATTTATTTGAAGACAGCATGAACTTTCCTAGTTATTATCTTTTCAAAACATTAATCTAAGCCAGAAAGACCTTCACCAGGCATGTAATATGAATGCATGAGATTGTTTCCCCAGTTGATGTGGTGTCCGAAGGAAAAATAAAGGAAAATTAAAGGTTAAGAAAAGGCAACATATTGATAACAATTTATCATTTCAAAACAGCTAGAAGAGAGAATTCAGAAGGTTGCTAACATGAAAATGATGTGTGTTTGACGGAATTTATATGCCAGTTATTCTGGTCTGATCATCACACTGTAAGCGATGTGAAATAGTATATTATACCTCATAAATACAAATAATAGTTCTGTGTCAGTTAAAATTCTGAGAACATTTTTTAAAAAGAATCATGTAAAGTTCTTGTATTTTTCTACTTCTGTTTCCTAATATTTAAAGTCACGAATGCTTTAGCATTTGACTTTAGCACACTTAAAAGGTTCAACTTGGAATTTCTTATTAATTGGTTGTTAGAGAATTTTACAGGATTAATGCACACATTTTAAAGAATATATCAAAATAATTAGAAAGCATAGGAAATGTCACACATCTAATTTTATGGAAGGAAACTGAAATGATTTTGATATTGTTACTAAAGCATGGCAAATGTGCATATGCATTTTATTAAAATTTTAATAAATGTGACATTCTGTACTACAAACAGTAAAATAATCATTTCCTTTCATATCCCAGGCAATTTTTTCAATTGTATTGGATGCCACAGGTTCTTTCTCATAGGAATTATTAATCTTGAAAGGTCAACTATACATATCTTTTCCTAATAACTTTGTGGCTGGTTAAAGTTGAATATCTGCCTAATGAGCAGCATGCCTGTCAACTTGAATTTTCTTCTATTGCTGTAGGTGGTCAGAAACTCGCAATGCATTTCCTAGTGCAACCTGGGATCAGGAACCCAAATCTTTCTGAGGGGCCGCCTAGTGTGAGAAGCTAGCAGGAGGATCGAGGAAGGATGATGACCTTTTTGAATGCATAAAGGCACCCAGAAGATCAGGAATTGCAACAAGCCTCTGACATAGTCATAAATAAATCACACTTAAGCAATATCCTTGTCTTCAGAGAGAGTGCAATGAACTTCAAAGCACAGTAACATAGATATGGTCACTCAGCCATGGAAGGGCTTAGAAATGGAATTTCCCAAATCATAAACCAGGCTTGTCCAAGCGCACTGTCGTAGATCACAGGTCTTCAAAGTGGAGGAAGGTGAGCTTACATTCTGATCCTGCTATTTTCCACCACAAGGCTTCTATGCCTTGGCTTCATCGTCTATCACAAAGGGTTTGTAGAAACCCAGATTGCAAGAAGCCATGATCTTGAGATCATGAAGATAGCCCTTAGCAGACCTGCAGCTCCTGGAGCATCTTAATCCCAGTCATTGCACTTGTGACTGCTCTTTGTTATTTATCCCTAAATAGGTATGAACATTGGGAATTCAAATTTACTCAGAACCATTGCCGAGTAAAATTCCTGTGACTCCAGACAGGTTAGGAAATTCCTTTTCTCACAGTTTCCTCTGTACAACACAATGTGACAGTGAAACCTCTCTCTAGGTTCTTAGAAGAATTAAATGAGTTCGAATGAAAACACTTTCAAAAGTGGTTTGAAAAATGAAATAAATATCATTTTTATCTGTTGTATTTTTTTGAATTAATTTTCAGAACCTGCCACCATGTTCCAGTCTAGCAAATACATAAGAAGAAAGCAATGCTTCTTGCTTTGGTTAGTGGTTGTTATGGTTGTGGGGTGTGTGTGTGTGTGTGTGTGTGTGTGCGCGCGCGTGCGCATCATTCCTCAGGAGATGCCTATCTTGGTCTTTATTTGTTTATTTGGTTTGGGTTTGTTTAGGTCTTTTGTTGTTGTGTTGTTTTGCTTTGGTCTGTAAGAAAACATCTCTCACGGGGAACTGGAGCTCATCAATTATGTTTATTGCTAACCAGCAAGCCCCTCAGGTCCTCTCTTCTTTTTTCTCTCCAGAACTGGAATAAGAAGTGTACCACCATGCCAAGTTTTTCCATGGGTGATGGGGTTGAACTCAGGTCCTCAGCACAGCAAGCACATGAAAGACAGCACTCCCACCACACAGGAAACAGAGCCCTCAAGACAGTGTTCAAGGCATTATTAGAAGAAAGCGTTTTAGAAAGTTTTAAACAACTACTTCAAGAGAGACTACTTAAACAACATGTAAGTTGCTTATAATACAAGATACCATATTCTAATCCCAATAAAGAGTAAAGATAACAGCTGAGACACGTTCTGGAGATGTAAAACTATTTTTAAAACTTTAGTCTCGGTAACCCACGCTGACAATGGCCGAGCTAGGAGAAGCAGACGAAGCGGAGTTACAGCGCCTGGTGGCAGCGGAGCAGCAGAAGGCGCAGTTCACTGCGCAGGTGCATCACTTCATGGAACTATGTTGGGATAAGTGTGTTGAGAAGCCAGGAAATCGGCTAGACTCCCGCACTGAAAACTGCCTCTCTAGCTGCATGGCCCGCTTCATTGACATTACTCTTGCTATCACCGGTCGGTTTGCCCAGATTGTACAGAAAGGAGGACAGTAGGCCATACCTCAGAACGATGGAAGACCCAAAAGACTTGTTACTGAGCAGATTGAATGGCCAGTGGAGAAAGAGTGGTCAATGTATCAGGCTATCATCAGGCAGTTACTAAAAATCTGTTGGTGCTAAAAAGTAACAGATCAAATGTCCAAAAGTGAAATTTTATTTATTGGAATTCAGTAATTTCAGGTTGTATAACACCAGTTAATAAATGTTAAGTCTCAAAAAAAAAAAAACAACTTTAGCCTCTTAACTTTGGAAACAGAAGGTGATCATGAGGGTTGATCAGAAAAATCAAGGTTCAAAGAAGGAAGGAAGTAGGGGACATAGATTCAGAACTCTAGAACCTTGCGGACCTATAAACTTTGTTCAGTAATAACTGGGGAAAGAAACAGAGTTTTCTGAGACCTCTTTATCCTGTCTGGGACAGACACTAATAGAACTTCTACTTACATCTTAACTCCTTTAAAAGGTATTTTAATGTCAATATTAGACAAGAGGACATAATCTCAGAATAATAAACAACCTTATTAAAGAGGAACCAGGGGGAAAGGCAGACAGTGAAGGGTGTGTATGCTGTATTGAGTCACACGCGTATCTGGTGTGTTAACAACACTGCTCCTTTGTTTTTCGCTTCTCTTCAGACTGGTGACAATCCACACCAGGACAAAAAGACAGAGTGGTAGTTAGCAATCATTGGGGCGACACAAACCACAGCATGCAACAGGCGTAAGGCAGGTCTTTCCCGGAGGGACAAAGAATTGAAATTAAGATAAGCTGAAATAACATACAAATAAGCTCTATGTTAATCAGCCCTACCCAAATTTTACTTCTGTTTCCTGCTTCAGCTATTGAAGAATAAAACCTTATTTTCGACTTACGCTAAGACCATCAGCCCATGGCCATGTGAGCTGCAAGGGGTTAATTGTGAGCCAGGCCAATAAATGGAGATGAATGGTTAGTCTTCCTAGAGAGAACAGCCCAGTTTTCCAGATTTCCTGAGGAAGGAGCTGCACAAACTGGCTTATTTGATTTTGTAGACGGAAGCAGGTAGCATGAATCAAGCAGGAAGCAGAGCCCTCAAGAGAATGTTCAGAGAATTATTAAAAGGAAGCATTGTAGAATTTTTTTTAAATAATAACTTCAAGCAAAATTAGAGAGAGGTTGTGAAGGAATGAACACAGAGTTTAATCACTGTGTCACCCTTTACCAGTGACATGACGAAGCCTTCTGCACCTTTCTGAGCCTCCACTGAGTCATCTACAAAATATGGATAGAGATGTAGTTGGCAGGGTTAAAGATTAAATTATAATAAATTACAGCTTAAGTCAATTGCCTGGCCTATATTACGTGTTTAATATGGATGGCCATAATAATTTTAATTACAAGCTGCCCTCAAATGAGGATCACTAAGGTTATTTATTCATCCAGAAAATGTGTTTTGGGGACAGTTATAGTACCCAAAAAAATTCCTCAAATTCAATTATCTAGAACCCCAGTAGTAGAGATTTGAACTTGAGCAAATAATGTGACTGATTTTACAGCAAAACCATGACTCAGTTCTGGAATCATGGCCAGAACAATCTAAAGCCTAGGAGAGGAGCTCAGGGGAGCAAAGTTCTCAGAGCCTATCTTAGAAGGCATGCTGTATTATATGTGTAGAAAAAAAGGAATGGGATTTTACATTCAAGAAAATATGTATGCCTAAGTATGGAATTACAAAACACCCTATTCTTTCTAGAGAAAATAATAACTTCCTAGAAACTTCTGAACATGTCATTTGTCATGAGGATTTTAAAAAGGTGTCCATATAATTTTACCAAATGCAATATCTTCTCACAATGTAACATTCCTTGTGCACCACGCACAATGCAAACACGACTGTAAAGTAATTGATCACTTTTTCCTATTGGTCATTCAGTATTCCTACATGAGCACTTTGGCAAGTTCAAAGATTTAATTCTCACCTGTGAGGAGAGAAGTAGTGGTAGAAATAATTTTTCCCATCATTCCATTCTTTCTGTGAGTGAGGCACATTTTTTATATAACAATCAATTTCTTAACATCTCTTAAATGCAAAGAAGTGATTTTCGGCATGCACACAGTTCACATACATACATGCAGGCAAAACATTCATTAACATAAGGAGAAATAAATAAATGTTGAAAAAATTTAATGTGTAACTAAATATATATATATATACATGTATAATGGTAAAAATAGATATATCACAGGTAGAAAAATGATGAATAAATAGATGATAGATAGATAGATAGATAGATAGATAGATAGATAGATAACCTTTGTTAGCCTTGCACTTTTAAAACACTACATTTTCTTGACTAACTATTTATAATCCCACTTAGCAAATTACAGAGAGAAATTTCTACGGTCATAATGTAACACACACATTATTTCATGCCAAACTAATGCATGGATTTAATGCAAATTCTTGTCACATCAGAAGAGACATCATCTGCTTTCTACAATGTCAACTTTTAACTGAGTTCTTGGATGTTTTTATCAATAGCTTAAAAAATGATATGCTAGTAGTCTTTAGTCAAAATCTTGGGACACAACACATCTTTCCTAGGCTCATTTAGCCTTAAGAATGTGAACTACTTACTGAGAGATAAAGAAACAAAAAACGCAAAGGGTAATTTGTAGTTGCCAGATACTAAAGAATACTCATTGCCTTTAGTGTGATATGTAGTTGGTCCTTCAAGAAGCAAGATGGAGCCATCACTACACAGCCATAGCAGGCTATAAAAAAGAATTTATTTTCTAGATTGAGAAAGTGTCCTTGAAAATTGAAACTAACTTACTCACCTATGCAGTTATATGGTTTAGGACTAAAAACCCAAACCAAGTAGGCTCAAGCAAATAAAACTTTTCCCTGTGGGGACAAAACTGTCCAAAGGTGAGGCTGACTTTTGGGTGTGGTTAACTGCAGGTGACCAAATGGTGTTGGCAGCATAGTTGCTCTTTTCCTCCTAATCTATCATTACCTTCTGCTCTCTTGGCTTTTATTCAAGGCCACACAGTAGTAACCAATCCAGCCCCTCCCAATGACAGCGCCATAAGAAAAGAGGAGCTGCCACCTAAACCTCTTTCCAAAAGGCTGGGAAGCTTTTACATTGAGTCTGCATTGGTCATCTGCCTGCTCTGAACTTATGATTGGAATCAATGAAAACCAGACTCTGATTTTCAGGACAAGATAATGCCTGAAGATACAAGTAGAGTCCCATTTAGGTCACAAAGACACAGTATGAGGATGCCACGGGCCCTACAAATGTAGCTGATGCTGGAAGAGAGGGGAGAGTAGTTAAGATGACGAGCTCCCAGTTAGTCCCATATCTGCTACTTCCCAGCTACTGCCAAGGACAAGTTGGCATGCCACAATTCATCTCAGTCACGTCAGTAGTCAGATTTGAAGATTACAAGACAATTAAGCCAAGTTTTAGATGCACACACATGCACAGCTCAATGGTAAAGGTTGGAAATTTTTCTAAACTGCCTAGGGAAAAAATCAAATTATTCATTAGTCTTCATAGTTACAAATCAACTTTCACATGCCGACATTAAAATACTACTTTATCTAGGTGTAAACTACATACAGAATACATGTACTTCAAATAAGAAAAATCTTAGCATGTGGCATATGAAACATCTCTTAATTCTAAATATTGTTTGGTTTGAAGAGCATTCATTTGACTGCCTATAGTATTCAGGAAATAAAATGACAGGTAATAGTCTTCAGGCAACAGACTTGAACACAGCAAGGGAGGGGGAGGTCTGTTATTGTTTTTCCTTCCCCAAACCAGAATGAACCAAACAAAAGTCTCTTTCTGCTTCATTGCTCATAAGCAGTCATAGGCGGGGGCATTATTCTAAGGATCACCACCTTATCTTTTCCAATACTGCCTAGATGTCTGCAGTAGGGAGTGGGAATGAAGAGAGCTAATGCAATGCATAGTAATTGCAGTCTAACTAAAGGTTGAAGAGTAAACTGTATGTAACCAAAAGAAGTTGCTCTATATTATGGAAGATGACACTGCCACCACAAGCAATTAGTCCAGGGGATACGATTCAACATGAAAGTAAAAAAGAAAAATTTTCCTATGTATATATGTAGTGAGGGTGTATATGTGTTTGCATGAACAAGAGTACATGTATATGTGCTGGTACAACCAAAGGTTAGTGTTGGGTGTCTTCTCAATCTCTGTACTTCTTAGATATTAAGGCAGAATCTTAGAATTTCAGAATCCAGAGATTGATGATTAAGCCAGCCTAGCTATGCAGCTGCTCTGGAGATCCCTCATCTCCACCTCCTGCATGTTGGGTTTGCAGGCTGGCCACCATGTCCACCCAGCTTTTATACCTCCATCCCTCATCTCCATCTCCTGAACATTGGGTCTTCAGGCTGGCCACCATATCTGCCCAGCTTTTACAGCTCTTTCGTTGGGTCTGGGGAATCCAAATCCTTATCCTCACACTTGTCAAGCAAGCACCTTATCCAATGAGCCATCTCCCCTACCCAAAAGACAATTTAAAAAGAGAGGATTTTTACCAACCACCTTCAAAAAAAGCTGTTTGGAGACAAAATCCACTCCTTAGTTATCATCACACTTACACTCATTAGCACACTGCACTTTCCATCACTGGTAGTGGTTCAAAATTTATTTCCAAATACATTTTATTTAATGAGCAGAGATGAAATGCAACAATAAATATTAAGTTACACTTCTGACAAACTCACTGCAAAACAACACTCTGAAGATAAGCTGAAGGCAGGTTTCTATCCATATCATCTATCTATTAACCTTTTCATTGTTTTCAGTATTCTGGGTATGTAATCCTGAAATTGGAAAAAATCAAATACAGTTAATTATCTATTGTCTAGTTTGAACTATTCAATCACACTTTTGTCTTGCTGATCTCTGAGCTAAATCAGTTTAAAGTTACTTTTCAATGGAGAATTGAGCAGGCTAAATCCATGTTTTATGGTAAGGTCTATACTTAACTTTTGGCAGAAGTTATAGCAATCCCGGAGGTAGCATGACTATAATCCC